GTTTGCTCGGAGTCACTTTCATAAAATCAGATATAATAAAAACCAAGTGATGAGAGGACGCGAAGTTTTAGGGTGCTTGAATGTGCGAAACCATCCCTGAGGCGAAAGCGAGGGTTGGTGAACAAAACAGGGGGGCGAGAGAGGGCGGGAAGGAGAGAGGGAAATGGGGAGGTGGTGAAACGAGGGTGTCGGTCGCGAGTCGATAAACCGCGGGGCTGGACGCGAGCACCCTTGCGCACGGTTTCAACATGGCGGACGGTGAGTCCCATTCTCTTCTTCCCTCGGTAGCCTTACTGAATGCCGGTGATCGGGGATCTAGAGAGAGTTTGAGCGTGTCTCATATCAATCGATTCGTGATTCCGCTGCTTGTTCTCGTGACCATACCAACTTGGCTCGATTGCAACTTCTCGGATTTCTCGCGAAGGATCTTCGTTTCTGAGCACCCTCTCTCTCTCTCTCTCTCTCCTCTCTCCTCTCTCCTTCCCCCTCTCTCTCCCCTTTCTCTGTCTTTCGAGAGGAGGGTGACCAGTGATCGGCACTGAAGTGCGCGCGCGAAGATTCGTCCTTTTCTCTCTCTGTCTCTTTATCAGATCTGTCTTGGAGGATGGAGGAATTAAGCTAGCTGTATGCGTTATTTTTCAGACAAGAATCAATCGATATGCGACTCAGGGAGTCCGTCTCGATCTCGGTGCCCAGTGGATTGAACAACAAGTAAGTATCCCGATGATGAGACGAGTGCTCGCAAAAGGGTTAATTGACGGCCGGCCGGGTCGGGACAATCACGTGCGGAGATAATGATCATCCTAATCGAGGCTAGAAACGGACGCGGAAATGTTAATGTCGCAGTTCGCGGAAAGCTAACTGCTATACTTCGTTCTCCATATTAAGTACACGATTTTCTCAAGTGCTGATCTCAAGTTAGGGTCATTTTTATTAGTTAATGTTATTTTATGTTGTTAACTAGCTTACATTCTTTATAACACTGCAATAATTTTGACCATTGAATGTCTCCTTCTATTATAAGTATTTTAGTTATTCAAAAATTAGCTATACTCCTCTTTTACACACATTTTTTTATATTGTATGTATAATCGGATTGAAGATATAATCTTCTTTCACCCTGAAAAAAATGTTCTCTTTTTCCAATTGTAAATTGCAAAAAAATTATAATTATCTTATATAATTTACTAAATGTTTATTTAATTTTTTAAATTTAAGAGTTTAGAAATTAAATGTGACAATTTAGTATATTTCTTTGAAAAAAAATTGCTAAAATTGGGTTTTCATCCTTAATAGCAAAACATTACAAGAAATATGACATAATTGCTTTTACTAAATAATTTAAATCGAATCTTTAATTTAAAGTAAATTATTTAGAAATTGAAAGTTGCACACTGAAATTGCTGAAACATTTCAGCTGTAGTAGTAGCTATATCTATAATGGAAAAATGATGAAATGAATTATCAACTTTAATTCTTTATTATATTGATTAGTAATGTCCCGAATCAACTTGCGTTTCCTCAAAGAAACGATATTTCCTTGTTCACATTCTCCATATATTTGGAGAAATAAAGCAGCTATACGTATATGCTATTATGTATATACGTCACCATAACGTTGTGCCATGCATGCAGAGAGTTGCGCGCAAAGTCACCAGGCTGTAAATGTCAATCGCTATAATCTTTGCCTGACCAAGTCGCCTGATTATTTCCTAGTTATAAGTTACGCTAAATATAAACGTCTGATCCGTCTCTCCGTGGCGGTCGTAGGCGTGCTGCCGCCTATGCCGCGGCCGCCTCGATATCGGCGCGGACCCGAGTGGGTATACCTAACGGCAACGCTAGTATCGATCCACCTGGACTCATTTCTCGGTCTCGCTCGCAGCCAGCTCCGCAGGCATAGCCCGAGCCGGAGCGTCGCCGTCGGGACCGGCGAGATCGGCGAACGCAACGAGAACGCAACCGAGGAGCCGATTGCCAGTCCCGAGCTGGACTACTCGAACGACAAGTCGGCGGACTTTCGGTTGGCCGAGGATACCACCACGTGGTCCTCCCTGGCGATCGCGCGCGACAACGTGCAGCAAAGCAACTTGTCAACGCAGCAGCTCGTCAACGTCAATAATAATCTCACTGAGCCAAGGATACAGAGGAACAGGTCTGTCGAGAGCCTCGCCGATGACGAAGGTGAGTGTGTCTCTCTTTCTGTGTGTCGCATTAAAAATTATCGATTTAAATAGACCCTCTTTGAACGCTCCTTTTGCGTTTTAGAAAATACGCAACGGTTCACGAGATTTAATAATTAAATTATTGAACCAAACAATCATTATGCTTTTAATCAATGAGATATTTATCGTTATTAATTCTCTTTTACTTCAACTTTCATGCTATCTCTATTCTCTATTTTAGTTATTTATATTTTTACAATTTGATTGGCATACATGTATGTTTTCAACTGATTCATATGCAATTTAATCGTATCAGAGTAAAATAAATAAATTTAGAGAAAGGAAATCGAGAGAGAGAGAGAGTGTGTGTGTGTGTGTGTGTGTGTGTTTGTGTGTGTAAAGAGGATTTAGGAGGATAAACAAAAAAAAATGATTTAGCATAAGTAAGAGACCTGTATTGTTAGGCCCGATCGAAGAGCAATCCGCCAACGTAAACAACAATCTAACCGAGCTGAGGATACGAAGTAGCAGCTCCACTGACAGCCTCGCTGGTTACGAAGGTGAGCTCCGTCCACCTTGAATCATCCCATGTACATACAATTGAATCGTGCATGTAAGAGCTTCTCAATGCGATTAAATCGCAATGCAATCCATGAAAAAATTCCGCGTAACAAAAAACAAATTGATAAACGAAGTAATTTTAGAGAGATGAAATGGTAAAATAACGATATATGTATATTTTTGTGTTAATTACGTACCTACAACTCTGATCTTTTAAAGAATGTCTGATGAGCAATAAATGAAGACATCTGAATCATTAGATCTATTTAATATAATTTCGCAGATCTCCACTTTTATCGAGCAGCTAATTAATTGATTGGCCTACTTTTTAGTCACGCTTCTTTCAAGTGCTACGCTATGCTGATTTATTGGAAAAGATTTTATTGGAAAACAATGGCGGTTGTGAAGGTTTCGTTGCAGAAGCGCGAACTTCGATATTTTCCATTGGCTGCCATTAATAACGCGCATCATATCCTTGACATTAACCATTATCCGTAAAGTACAGGCTCCGGGATTTTTAGTTTTTAACCAAATTTATCCGCATATTACATACAAAGTGCGCTACACTTTTGCGATAATTAGCTTACAACATATAATGATTACGACATTACTGATCAAGGATTTTAAGTCTACAACTGTCTACAAGGTACAACCACAATTCAAAAATTATCTCATTGTCGCATCGCAGAAGCAGTATGTTAAAATCGCAGTATTTATGAAATATAAAATTTCTAAAAAGGAGTCAGTAATTTTTGGAATTAATATTGCACGCGTAATATGCTTCAACAATTTGAAACTTAAATTACGTAGCTGGTAATAATCTGCAGGTAATAGTCTGGTATTAATCTGTTCCACAAAATCAAAGATTCGTGCAAAGGACAGTTTATAGAAAGAGTTTACGCAGCCGTCTTTTTTTCCCCATGAATAAGCATGTATGAAATCAAAGATCTGGAAGCAATGATCAATTATACTGATATCACTGATCTAATTCAATGACGATCAACAAATCTAGCAACAACGCCAAAAATTCTTCCAGACGGAAAATTGTTCAAGAGCGAACATGGAAAATTCATTTTTATATCAATTTGTATAAAACGAGTATGTGATGTGTATAAGCCAAGTATTGCGGGTGGACTACGAAAAAATGATGGATATTCCCTACGAGCGCACGACTAGCGACGATGATGATGACGATGAGTCACGGATTACGACGTTTAATTATTCGACTAATGCTGAGACGAGCGTAACCGCAAAATGTTTCAGGGCGTAACTCTCCGCACGAGAACTCGTCGCACGAGTTGACGCCGTCTGAATGGTCTGATTGGTCCGAAGAAGGGAACCTGCCGGCAGGCTGCCGCGGCATCGTCAATCCCAATTATCCCGGCTTCCAACATCTGGCACCTTCTCTGCTATCGGATACCGACCTAACCGAGGACGAGCACGATAGCTGTTCCGATTATCCGCCGCTCCATCATCACGACGAAGTAGTAGTCCCACTGCCGTTGGAGAACGACATCGAGTACAACAACAACATCGACGATAGTATCAATCATCTCTGCGGCCAGCGCAACGACCGCAAGATTTTCTACGAGAAGCCCAAGTTTAATATACAGGTAATATATATCCGCCGTTTGAACGAATTGACCTTACTTTTAGCGTCGCAACTAGAAGATCAGTTTCGCGAGATGAAAATGATCGAAAGTATAAAAAATTTAAAGGTCTGCAATACATAGATACGAGCAAACATTATGCAATATTTGACAACATGTAACATATGTATAATCATGATGTACCTACATTATCTTAATTGATGTGAAAAGTTTATAATTTTATATTAAGATTTTCACAATTTTTATACGATTTTCCTTTCTTTCAAGAGAGAAAATTTCCAAGACATTGAATGCCAGATAAAATGTTTTTTTTCTTAAATAAATAATAAATATACTTATATGTAATATTCTTAATAAACATATGTATATATTTAGCAAAATTGAGCGACAGTAAACGCGAGCGAGTTATCAACACATAAAAATAATCGAGCATCCTCCTCCGAACGTATATTCTCGTGTGACATCATCATGCCGCTATCATCTCTCTTTCGTGTTCCAGACTGTGACCTCTCTGTACGAGGCGGTGGTGCCGCCTTCGGAAAAGTGTATCAACTACGTGAAGAGCGTGGAGGTCTCTAGATCCGAGGAAAAGGTGCTTTCGCCGGAGCCGGAGGAAGTTATTGTGAACAGCATCGTCGAGGCGGCGGAGACTCATCTGACGCTGCTGGAGGAGCGGAAGGAGAGTCTGGCCGATCAGGTGGACAAGCGCGGCCCTGAATTGTCACAGGTAATCTTCGAGGATAAACGTGAGAGAGAGGTATCCGTCGAGGTCGAGCTGGTGGAGTTGACCACCAGCGTGAATGAAAGCCTGCAGTTTCCAGAGATCGAGGAGATCCTGGACTCCGGAAAGACTAGCGAGATCGGCGAGGTAAGCTAAGGAGATTCTTTGCGATAACGATTTAATACGCGATTAAGTTAAGAGATCTCGACGCAATGGATTTTATAATATAACAATTACGAAATAAACATCATCATTCAAGTACCTACTAAGGCGAAGATAAAGTTTTTCTTGCTTTCGCTCGTATATGACACTCAAGTATATGACTTTAAATGATTAAAGTAGACATTTATTTCATTTTCATTTTTATTTTATTCAATGTATTTAAGCCAATGTATTTTTTCACTGTTTATAATTTCGTATTTAATAGTAACATTTAACAATCGTGTATTTATTCTAAGCTGAATCCGCCTTGAATTCCATTAATCCCTAAAGCTTGCCAACTATATTATATACAACCATTATTTAATTAATATTTAATTATCACATCAGTATGCACAATTTCTGTCTGAGCTTTTCCATCTGAGGCTTCTTTAATGTTATTATGCAATTGATTTGATAATTACTAGCTCGACTAATTCTACTTTTTGTTATTGGGCGCCTGTCTGACTCGCTCGACGTTCTCGTTGATTAAACATGAAAATGATTTCTGTGTGTGTGTGTGTGGGCGCGCACAGACGGAGGATATCGCGGTGGAGCATATCGACCTAATACGCGAGGCAAAGGAGTTGCCTCACCCAGACCGCACCAAAATAGGCAACCGTCAGCCGGTGAGGACGACGACGACGACGACGACGACAACGACGACGACGTCGACGTCGACGTCGACGTCGACGGGCGGTTCGGCTGACGACGACGAGTCGGAGAGTAACAGCGACTACTCCGAGGGCTTTGCCGAGGAGCGACCGACCTACACGAAGCTGGAGGAAATCGATCTGCTATCGAGCATCGGTCGCGATATTGGCGTCGATCTCGAGAAATACGCCCAGCCAGTACCAGACGTGGTCGCGATGGAGTCGATCGAGAGTATGCGCCAACCGCGGTCCACTTCGATCATCAAGGATCATGTGGACACCAACAAGTTACTGGATCGCCAACTTCCGGAGGCGTCCAGCGCCGATTCCCGGAAGAAGGAGAAGATGGCCAAAACCAGGCCAAGCGCCGTCAGCAGCAGCAGCAACAACAACTGCAACAACAATCGCGAAACTCTAACTCTCAGAGGCGTACCGATAAGCGCAGGGTTGACATCGATAACGGATCTGGTAAATATCTCAACACGCGTGTCATTTTATTCTATTTATGCTATTTTTATTATATTTTCTGTTTTATTTTTTATTCTACTTTTATCCTATTCATCCATACACACTTTGTTTCTGTCATTTTCTTTTCATTTCTGATTTTTTATTTCTCTCTCTATTATTATTTCGTTATTATATATCTATAATATTATTAATATAATTATTTCTAATCAATTCATATTCTTCTGTAATTCAGTTTTTAAATATTATCTCTTTTGAGATCTAATATCTTGTAATGTAAATTTGTTTATTTAATAACTTCTTACTATTATAGATTATAATTAATAATTTTATAGAACAGATTTCTTCAAGAACGTAGATATACTGTTACAATATTCTTTTACAAATTGCAACTTTCCGTATAGTTTTACATATATTTTTAAAAGCAAAATAACTCATTTTAATGAATACGCGCAATGCATTTTACTATAATCGCGTTCTATTGGAGGTAATTAAACTGATTTGCTTTTCACGCAGTAATTGAAAAAAATAATGTTGCTTTTTCTGCATTATGCAGCGATGATTGCGCTTATTCTCAATAATTATTACACATACAACAATTACGCACATGCCTTAAAAAAATTACATAAAAAAAAACTATTCTTTTTAAACCCTTCAAGTTTATAATTTTTAATATAATATTAAATATTACGATACTTAAAATTACGGTTAAATTTTTCGAAGTAAGCTTATATTAAAATTAATTATATAATTAATAAAATAGTGCAATAACATTTCTTTGTCAATTTTTTATATTTAAATCTTTTAAAGTGTAATATAGAATATTTAATTTTTAATTTAAAAAATTGATATATCAAATGATAAAATTTTTATGGCGATGACTTTGAGACACGTATAACGGGATATATGTGTACGTATATTTATGATCCTTGAAAAGGATATTTAAGGAGGTAAACTTTAATTTTTGACCGGCCACTCGAGATTAGTTAAATGCACGCGATAGTTCGGAATTCATTAGTTTCCGTTCGACTGTTTTGGACGTACTCCTCCGTCTTGTCGCCATAGATTAAAGGTTCTCACGTTTGACGTTCGCTGTTAAAGGTGGCTTCGACGTTTACAACATTGAGACAGCGATGCCAAAGATCGATTTGGATGCGATCGAGTCGCACCTTAGAGCTGCGCGTGAAGAGGAACGTCGAGTAAGTAATCAACATTTTTTTCATACAAATTAGAATTATTATTTTTTATGTAACACGTAAATTGTAGCAGGATTACGAACTTGTACCTATAGAAATTTTTTATCGAATTCAATTCAAACCCCAAACAGTCCACGGCTTCTTTCTTCAAAGTGTTTATAGAGTTCAAGTCGTTTTTTAAATTTAAATATTACAAGTATATCTTGTACACTATTAAAGAACATCGTAAAAAGAGCGATTTTGTATATATCTATGTTACTAATTAATTCTTCGATACGTAAGACAATTCGATCGATTTCCAATATTTTCTTTCTTATATAGAGATAAGTTCTTAAATTAACTCATGCTCTCAGGTCAATGAAAGTCTTCAGTTCATTCACACACTTATCTTACTTACAAATGTATTTCAATAATATTCCATCTGGTTCGATCGCGGACTCTTGAATACGTTTGACAAACACCCAGTAGAGTCAGTTTTGTCTAAGATTTTGCGTTTGCGTCGGATTGCGCACTTTGTGTGGGCATCTACAAGTAGGCGGACGCATATATAAATTTTATTTGGTACCGATAACTTTTAGAGCAGACACGTAACAAGATTTCCAAAGGAATGACTGGAGCTTCAGATTTTCTAAAGATTTTTTTGAAAGTGAAATTTTCCTTTTTGTTAGTTTGATCTACCAGAATTTAAGTAACGACATTATCGAAATAATTACCCATCAAGAAGGATTGTTAAAAAAGAAAGAAGAGTCTGATTATTAATAGCATTGACAAGCGTGATCATTTATATCGATTGAAAAACCTTGACACTCGATCACTTTAAACGATGGAATTACACATGGAACGATGAATTAAGTTTGTATGTGTGTGTATATATGTATATATATATAAATCTATATAACTCATTTGTGTTCAGAGATATATTAATTTTTCTCAAATCATTAACGCGAAAAATGTATGTGTATATTTTTTTCTGTGCGCTCCGTCGTTTTTGACAAACGAGAGATTTTGGCTCTTACGTCTCTTACTACTTAACCAAAAGACCGAGAGAGTCATACAGTATCGTGCTCCGAATGTTGAATTGTACACAAGGTAGAAGTCACACATGATTGGTCAACCGGAATGCTTTACGCATGACCTCGAAGATGATTTAACGATCTTTTGTTGCAATAACGCAACTAATGCTGCAGCTTGCAAAGCACAATAAGTTAAATAGTTTCGGCCACTTTTACGTGCAGCAGATCATTCTTTTTTGAGCTGACAATATAATTACGTGACAATAAATTGAGAAAATTTCAACAACTTTCTACCTAATTACTATATGTATGGCAAAGTACACCATAGTTGTATAATCATGTACGTTGTTTCTAAGGGAAAGGGAAATTGACGAGAATATGGAAACAATAATCTAAGTCGATTCGGAAGACCTTTTTAATGTAAATTATTTAGAAATTTATTTGCACGTACTATTTTTTCAGACATTACATTAATTTGTTAATCTATACTTTAAAATGTCAATGTTTAAATGAGATTCTTGTTCAAAATTTTTTGTTTGTAATATTTTTACCCTCAGCTGAACTTAATAAAAAAATAAATTTTACCTGTTGACTTTACGCTTTGCATATTTTTACACTGCATTATGTCACACAATTCAGTTTGTTAAGTTATTCAATTACCAAGTACACTAATGGTAAGCAATACGCTATGAAAGACATATATTGTACGTGTAGCAAAAAATGCAATATAATGTAAAATCGATACGATGACATGTTATATATTAACTTCCTTGCGTTTAAAAATTTTACTCCCAAGAATTCATTGGAATTCACCGAACGCACGGGACTGCAAGAATGTGTCTGATCACCATCAAGCTATTCATTCCGCGAAAGCTAAAGAAATGTATGTTTCCATTGAAGGCAGCATCAGATGCAATTCTCTTCATTCATTTTCCGAAACGATTTGTGAACCGTGCGTTGATACGCAAGTCAACGTACCAGCTCGTCAAGCACTTTCACCGAGAAGCCCCGTGAGAAGACTTCCTAGACTAGCTAGGCTCCAGTAGACAGGGCCACCTCCACGATCGCTGTTACCGCCGCCGCCGCCGCCGCCACCACCACCACCACCACCACCACCACCACCACCACCACCACCACCGCCACCACCACCACCACCACCACCGCCACCACCACCACCACCACCACCACCACCACCACCACCACCACCACCATCGCCATTGAACGCCTCCTTCGCGGCCAGCAACCTTAACGAAAGATCTCAGATCTCGAATCAGTCGGATCTTGCTCGATTCGCCTTGCAATCTCGTGCCGTCTTCAGTTTGTACGCGTGTACGAGTCTTTCGTGACTCCTCGGGGTTAATTGCATCTCGACAGTCTTGGTCGACCGAGTTCGATCAGCGATTCTCTTTCTAGCTCTCACAGTTCTGCCCGCAACAATGTTGGAAGAGAGAAAGCGAGTTCGCGAAGCCAACGGAAGGGGAAAAGCGGTATAAGGAACTTGGAGAAACACAATACGACTTTCTGACAGAAGTGCGAATAAATTTTCTAAGAAAAGAAGCTCGGTTCGCCGGGATAGGGAGGTGCACAACACGAGAGTGCGCAACCATGGGCAGCAGCAACAAGTCACGCAAGCATTATAAAAAGGATTCGAGATTCGTCGCGGATCTTTACACATTTACTTACGACGACGACTTGGATTGTGTAAGCGAAGAACGAAGGGCGACAGTATACATCCGATGTAACTTATTGTTAGATACGAAGAGTTGGGAAACGAAACGTTGGAATGAACTGACGCGTTGAAATCGGATCAATTAAATCCACTCTAATTCGGGTAGAATGTATGATGTCTGTGAGATATTTTAGTCTTTCCATTTCTTAGTGATAGATCAGCATTGATTGTTCGCTGAGCCTCTTTTCCACATTTCGCATGCGAATCTTTTCTACAATGTTCTTTAAACACACTATATTAAAAAAGATAGTTACATCTGATTTACTTTTTATTAATTTTTGATCGCTATTAATATAATGTCAATACAACCGCTATATATGTATGTGCGCGCACACACACACACACAAATTTTTTTATTTGAATATCTAACACGAACAACAGTGCTAAACCAAAGAGAGTTCACATTTTATTGAATAAAGCATAATAGTATTGAAGTGAAATATTTTAAAAGTAGAAAAAATTATTCTGCTGATAATTTTGAAGAAAAATACTATGAAGTAGTCGAGGATAGTAAAAAATTGTTTAATCTAACAAAAATTAAAAACAAAAGAAATAATTTATTATTATGTAATTTACTAATTTCATCAATTTTAATTGTGTTCTTTTTTACATTTGTTGTTGCACAGCAGCAAACAATTATCGCAGAATACTTAATTTCAAAATTAAAAAAATGAAAGTATTAATCAGCATATGGTTTTTAAGCATTTTAATGTCAGATGTATGTATATGTTGAGTCAAAGTATACTAGGTACTGCTCAGAAATCTACGCGTCACATCAGTTATTTAAGTACAATGGAACACATCAGAATTCAATTGCAAAATGTATAAGAGGTCATTACATTTTTCAAATGTATCGTGTCCGTGTTTCGTTCACGTGTAACCAATGCACGTGCAAGGAACGGCCGCATTATTAATAATCTAGATCAGTCAGGGATGACCGGTGCTCTCGGATGTGCCAGACTTAATAATTCCAGATTCATACTCGTGTTGTCATTCTAATCTAACAGGAAGGTCGACGAACCGGGCGCGCGATTCGGTACGGTTCCGGATCGACGCAGGCGTGAAAGTGGGTCACGGAAGTCGCGGTACTAATGAACAAACAGATTTTAGCGTAAAAGCAAACTTTCCTGCTACGATTGCAATTATACCTTATACTACGGAACTTTATCTATCAGACAGTCTGCAATTCAATTCTGAGATTCCTGAGATAATTCTGCAAGCTAATATCATCGAATTCTTGTTATTCTTGTAGCATTTTATGATTTTTAGGAGATGTTAAGTGAAGATATATATATATATATATATATATATATATAGCTACTATTTTCGATCATTGTAACGTGTGTCCGATTCGATGTCCTCGAATTTACGAAAGTCTGTGTCACCCTTTCTAAGAGAATTAAGTAATGTCGCCGCGTATATACGCGCCGTTTGTAATGTGTTTCATAAAAGTAAAAAGCGTTAATTTGTAAAAGTGGCATCAAGACGATGATAAAGAAGAAGAAACTACCACGAAAACGGATAAACCTTCTGAACTGATCATGGAAGCCGCGGATGAAGTGAAAAAAACAAAGGAAGATTTGGAAAGATCTGAGTACGAAAGGGAAGATTTGATTACACGATTCGACAGAATTGTACGAGGCGAACTTGATGATCTGCAGGTGTGAATTAATTGGACAAACTTGCAAGAGAAACATACTAAAAGTAAAGTTGTAGCAAAAGCACATTGTATTCGACATTGAAAGCTATTATAAATTTATAATATTACTTTCCCAACTATTTTGTGATATTGTTTACTTCTAAATATACTGCAAATTGTAAAATGGTTAACAACAAAGCAGATTGAATTGGACGTCTAACTGGATTTTTAGAATTTTAGCTTTTTCTATTTTTTAATGTAACAGCTGGTCCGGTATTCAAAAATTTTTTCGATTTAGCATAGAGCTCATCCAGGTTTTTTGAGTTTTTAAATATGTTCATTATAGTAAGTTATTAGTAAGTCTAACTGGAGAGCCGTCGAGTCATCTATTAACACTAAAAGTTTTAAAAACAGTTTTAAAAGTAAAAGTTTTAAAAACAGATTTATATGTGCAAACAGTTTAACATACTTGTGTTTGTGGATTCTCGATCGAATTGTACTATAGTGTACTTATCATTTAACAATCTTATTATAAGTGTTTGATAATGATCGCAATTTATTCATGACTAACATCTATGTAAAAATTGTGACTGATATTGTGATCTGCATATTGTGCCCGCAGCGACGAAACGATCGCGAGGAAATCAGAAGGAGACTCGCTATGGGGCCTGATGCCGAAGATTTGCGCGCCGAACGTGGTCGAAAACCGAGTCTTCAGTCGCGTCTTCAGAGCGGTCAGAGTCGTATAAATCTAAATTTTCATTTTTTTCCTGTCTGTCAGACCTATGGTTAATCTTTAAAATGGCAATCCATCAAATTATTAATAGATATACAGAACATATACATATAGAAATTTTATTTTTATTTATATTCGCTTTCATTCACTCATATATGAGAAAGATACTTTGTGTGTACTCAATATGTTAGTAATATTAAGTACTCACAAATAAAAATGATAAATAATTGCTAGCTCAGTTCTCTTACATAACTTTTATAACCAAAAAGCCAAGTGATAAATTACGGGAATGCATTTGCCTTGGGTATATGCAGGAATGAACCTTCAGATCTGCTTCATGAACGAAACATCATCGGACACTGAGTCCCCGGGTTCAGAGAATGACATATCTCCCGGCTCTACGCCTACGTCCCTTGGCTCGAAACAACTCGGCGGAAAGCAACAGGCACCAGCAAGACCACAGATGTTGAGTCTTCCATCTCTAAGACTCGATACGTACGCCAACTCCACACCGCCGGTCGATGAGGCCGACTTTTTCGCGCGGCAAGCCAGGCTGCAAACCGAAGCGCGAATGGCCCTAGCACAGGCCAAGGAAATGGCGCACATGCAGATGGAAGTAGAAAGACAGAGGTTGAAGCAGAGCCCCATCACCGAGATGGTGCGATGTAGCCTGGAAAAAGTTAGTACAACTGTAATTTGTCAATTAATTAATTAATAATACTTTTTAGGTGACATAAACTCCATTTATATTTTATAGTAGAAACATTCTGCATAAAGAAAGCCATGAGGAAATAGAGCTAGAGAATGCGTTGTAAAATATTTACTATTTCTATAAATTAATCACGATCACGATTAAAAGAAGAATAATAACACTCCGGTGCGGAGTCTCGATGAATAAATTTATATTATATGAAATTCAAACAAATATATCTAAATGAAATTTATAGTGAATTGAGATTGTATAATTTTTTAATTTATTGATTGGATATATCAATACAGCTATGGCTCAGCTTTGGACTAGTAAATAAAGAAATTTAGAAAATTTATTTGTGTATATCGCGCGCATATAATTTATGAAATTCTAGTATTTTATTTTTCATACTAGTTGAATTTATAGTGCTATAATAGAGTCTATAGAATCTGTGTGATGGAATCTCAACACTCTGTAGAATCCTTCCCGCGATTTATTTATATTTACCCTTCTTGTTTAACGATCCTTTAATTTGAATCTTGCATTTTCTTTTCAGGTCGGTGTACAGCTCGGGGAGGATAGGCGCAGGTTGTCCCGTGTACTTCTCACAGAATTAAATGTCGCGCAACTGCAAGTAGTAGCGAATGACTTGCATGCGAGGATCGCCGCATTAAACGAAGCGCTCGTCGAAGGACTTTTGAGAAGAGACGATTTGCATATGGAGCAAGATTCAATGCTCGTTGATGTAGAAGATCTTACTCGATATTTGTGAGTCTTGAAATTTACTTTAATTCAAAGACTTTTTATTACATTCTTTCGTAAAAAACAAAACTTGACTTATTATTAAAATTTCTTCATTTTTTCCTCTTTAATTAATTGATTTTGTCGATTTTTCTCGAAATTTATTTATAGATTTAACAAAGATATATGCAAAAAATTCATGACAACTTCTGTCTTTGTAAAAAGCATTTTTTTTTTTTAATTCGTAATTGCGTGATTCTGACAGCGAAATTCTGATTGCAAAATTATTGACATTAATATGAAAAATACAGTAAATACAGTAATTGAAAAAGAAAGAACATTAACAATTTTTATTATCGGCATTACGATTCGATATCTTTGAATTTTTATTTCGTTATATAGAGGTGCCAAACAGGAATCGTTGAAGAAAAAACATCAAAACGTGCAGCAGGCAGCAAATCGGAACTATCAGCAATCCTCTCCAGCCCCGATGAAGCTGTCGATGAAACCGAAATTGACGCATTTGAATCGCGGCCTGGTTGCCCTTGTAAGAAAATAATCCTTCGTTGCGAGACTGCGCAGTCTCGTCGGAAATTAAACTCCGAGCGGAAAGGGGCACCATGGACTTTAGAGACGTGAAAAAGCGAAGAAAGAAAAAGTGGAAAAATCTACGAGAAAGGAGAAAGAACTTGTTTTGGAAGAGAAGGTGGAAAAGAGAGGAGATGAAGAAACTTTCTTTGACAGATGAGAACGGAATTATTATTAGGAAAAAAAAAAAATGAAGAAAGCTTCTTTGAGTAAGAGGATGAAAAATCTCCTTTTCCAGAAAGATGGTATGGGAATTTTCCTCGTAAGAAAATATTGTCAAACTGTAAAAAGATAATTGCATTAGAGGCATCGTGGTGTACGTGCTCGAAAACTTTGAAAAACGTAACGATAGCTTTCGTAACGATAATGGTGGAATCATTTTCACCACTCTGATAAAGGGAGAACAGCAAATACTTGAGCAACTTTCCCTTGAATTTCCAATTTTTACAGCTTCGTTAATCGTCGTTAATCACGTGGAAGTAAAAATTTACGTATGTGCGTTCCACATACTTAAGCGAACAGAGCAACGATCCTTCGTTTGTACCCCACCATTTGAAATTTTCCATCTCTCTCTCCCTCCTCTGTATTCGCTCGGTCCCTAAGCTCATGTCAAATTATGTCCCGTGACATATGCATACATGTGTTTACGAATGTATCGATTATTCGCCTTTAAATAATAGTATATATAACATTAGTGAGAACGGGTCCTTTCTCTCTGTTGTACATATAACGAAGATTTATATCAGATTATTGTCGTATAGAGATTTCACGTGGTGTTTAAAGAAAGCGCTTCGTTCTGATTGTCCAATATAAGTCGTTCACGCGTACGTTTATGTGATGTTAAATATTTCGTAAAATCATTTTGATTTAATTGCGTGTAGAGTATTTCAACAACAAATTTCTGTATTTCTCTCTCTCTCTCTCTCTCTCTCTCTCTCTCTCTCTCTCTCTCTCTTATTAATCCATCCGTAGATTTATAAATTCAACGATTCCATAAATATTTGGATGTGTACATCCTTACTTCGGTAGATCTCTAGATCCGCCAATAGAAATCGTCAGCCGCTTAAACAAATCCTTCACATATAAATTTGTCGTTTCATCCAGCTTGGCTGCACGAGATATCGATGAGACGATAAACTAGTTTTTCGCGAACGATAGTTGAAGAAAGTCAACTCATATACTTTCTTGAATAACACAAATGCGCGCGCATTGGAAAGTGGAAGGAAGGTAATTATCAATGGAGACATTGAAGGCGAAGAAACGACCGTGGAGAACCGAAAACCGCGTTACATATCCAAATAGTATGCAAAAAACGATTAGTCCATATATAGAGCAATTATGAAAGGGTAATCAAATAGATATTTAATCGAGCATATACCGTTCACAAGGTTTACTCATATGCAGTGTTACAAAGGCGAAACTTGAAGGTCGAAACCAAAATTATTCATTGATATGGATTATTCGGTTCTTGCATCGTGTTATTTTTGCATGCTAGTGTCACACGATCTCATTCACATGCAGGATTTCAAATGTAGCCGAAATAAATTATAATGAATTTAAGCTGCAGCAGTTAGCTTCGTTTCTTAGATCCTCAGCTCACTCTTACAATTAGTTAAAATAGATCATTTAATTTGAAATAGATCTACTTTAAATAGAATGAACATTTATACTCTAATACATATATGATGAATATATGTTACATATTTGTGACGTTTTGAAAATAATTTTCATCTTTTTAGATCAATCTTTAGATCGTGAATTTACAAAAATTGATTATTTAAGCATTTCAATTTTACTGTTATCTATTTACACATTTTACAAGTGTGTATCATTTGTTACCAATTGCAATGCGAATCTATAATCCATGTGTGTGTTCTGGGAAAAACAAGATCTCTTTCGCAAATTGCTTTCACAAACGAGATTAGATTGAGTATAGCTGGCCAACATCTTTTTCAAAAACGTCAAAATTATTCAACTGAAAAATTGAAACTGCTTCATTGGAGAAGAGAAAAATGACAACAGCGAATTTATAGTTTTTAATTGCATATGTTGGAGACATTTTCTTAAAATCTATTCTTGATTACGACAATACGTCGTAATTGCATTATAAGATTGTTCAGTACTGTCGTATAAGGAACTTTCGATTAGTCTAAGAGATGAGCTTCACTTACACAAGATTAATCGAGAACAAAGGCAGCTCCCAAACCCAGTCACGGATCGTAGCACAATTGAAATATTTTTAAAAATAGAAAAAATTGCTTCAAAATTCATCATTGCGAAAAATCGAGATTACGCTGGAGGTGTTCATAAAAGTATTATCAATGAGAACCATATATTATCTACAAAATACTTTTAATCATAATATTAATTAATAATATACAGATTGTAAATAACTAAACAATAATAAAATATGCTGTAACAAGTTCTTCCCTCCCTCCCTCCCTCTCTCTCTCTTTCTCTGCGCGCGCGCGCATACACGTACGCGCGCGCACACACGCACACACATACACACACGCACGCACGCACACATTTTCATTTCCATTCTCTCTCACACTCTCTTTCTCTTCTTCTCATTGTCAATTTTCTTTTAGTTTCGCCCTTACATAAGGCTGAAACAATGAAGAAGGCACAGGGTAGGATGGTGTTTTCTTTCGATTTCAATGTGTGCACCAATTTCTTTTTCTCTCCCTTGCTTAACTTTTAATTTCGATTTTTCTGCAACGGAAACTTTCGACAACTTCTCACCCATTCTCACTGCTTCGCCAAACCAAAAAGATGGATAGGACAGGGAGGAGCACCATTTGAGAAACGTCTCGCTGAGCTCTCAGAATCACGTACATCGACAACTTTTATCTAACTAACTCCAATTAGCAACTCCATTCTTCATTTAGTTTTAGCTATAATCCAGATGGAAAATTTTATTAACTAAAATTAGCTGTAATAAATGATGAGCTTCAACTTGCATAACTTATTTCTATTGCTTTTATTTTTTCTATCGTTATATTGATCGTTATCATCCATAAATCAAAGTTAATTGAAATATTGTTTCAAATTTTTTCCTGGATCCTCTTAGAAATATAGATAAAACTCTTTTCAGATTCCATCTCTGGAAGAGAAAAGAGACATAGAATCATTGCAACTGTGTGTAAGTTAAAATTGTAGAAAAAGTATCTAATTAACCATAACCATAGTTAAAGTTGACTAACGCGTCGATGTAAGCGATTCTCTTCGTTCCGACAAGTCTTGATGCGGCACGATGTCTCGGGGAGATATTTTGGAAAGAACACAGATGGCGATGACGCGTTAATAATAAACGATTCCAAAAATCATTTCTAGCTTTCTTGTTTATCGCTTCCTTCGATGCCAAAGATGGCCAAGCCGTTATGGCACCATATAACGAAGCTTCCGTAGCTTCTATCATTTCTATCGCTTCCTCTTGATTATGCATGATTTTCTTAATTCGTCCTCTTAGCATTTTCTTTCTCTCCCCTCCCCCTCCCCCCTCTTACTCTCTCTTATCGGGATACAGCGGACATCATTAGCTTGTATATCATCATAATAAAAATTCTTAACATACAGCCGTAATCATTATCTCTATTATACAAGCTGGCACTTGCCGCTGTGTACTCGCATACTCCTTCCACGCGCCATACGTAGATCAATCTTGCAAATAGAATGTTGCTTTGCTTTTTCGTCACAATGTCCGATTCACGTGCCTGACTTAAAATATCTATAAAAATGTTGATCCTCGGACGCGTGTTCAGTTATTTATACCTTCAAAAAAAAAAAAAAACCAACTTTGCTCAGAATATCAAACGTTACATAAATCCGCTCTAAGACGCAAGTTATGTTAAAAGCAAAATTCTTGCGCGTACCTACTGACACACACGTTCTCGGAAAACATTCTCTCTCTCTCTCTCTCTCTCTCTTCTATCTATCTATCTATATATATAGATCAATTTAGATAGATAGATAGACAGATAGATAAAACAATTTCAAAAAACTATACTCTTCATTACAAATTTCTGAAATTTCGATTTAAAGCATCCAAAACATGCCTTAGGCTAAAAGTTTTCATCAAGATTCGCCGTTAAACATTATCAAAGGCAGTAAGAAATGTGCGTATAAAGTCGAGTATAGTTCCAATTAGGAAAATTACCACAGAAATTCGATCATCCTTCGAAAGAATGTTCTACAGTCTATCATGAATATAATGAATAATGTACAAAAATTATTACACCATTTTATCGTCGCTCACGATAAAACGATCTAGCAATTTCGAAGAATACAACGGATCTCTGTGTTATCGCTCCGGGAACAACAATGGCGTGCAGAGACCATGGATATGGCGTTCTATTTTTCTCTATCCTCCTTCCCGTACCATATCCCCGTCTATCACCCGGTATATAAGTAACCCTGTTTTCTCCAGCGCTTCTCAAACTTGGATTTTTACTTAATCTTAGCTGCAAATAGTAACATTACGATCGCGCGATCACTATTTCAATTACTCTCAATCTAGGAAATTATTGATAGTCTACTTCCGGTCATCGCAGGTGTGCAGATAAAATCGCCGAGGTCGTGATAGTTGATTACGACGGCTCGATATTCCCACTGATGTTATCGAAGAAAGTGGGACATCAGAGCGGAGTCTTTCTAGAATCGCCAGTATTAGCCTCTTCCAGGATCACTTGCCCATACTGGCGTTCGCTGGCAATGTTGCGGATCGTTGTTGCACCGACAAATATGGCTTCAAGGTCGACCTTGTGGATTCCCTAAAAAGAGATTGTAGTCACGTAAATATACCGCATTCAATCAAAAAACAAGTGAAAAATCACCGCATAGTCAAAAGCCGCGAAAGCATCGAAAGCACGGTAATTGAATGCGGTTGCAGATTGAAAGGTGGTGCAAGCTAATCTAATAATCTGTAATCTGTATGTTGAATGCTTTCGTTGTGCGATAAAACATCTACATATGTGAACACATGCTATTCTTGATCGATACACATGTTTTTCCAATTAACTATACGCGATCAATTTAATTATCACTCACAATCAATGTCATGCATAGTTACACTAATATGTACACAAATATATACAAAATCGACCTTTTAAGCAATAATCATCTTTTTCCTTTTTAATAAATAACGAATTTTCGATCGAATCGTTATCATAATTGTGTGTGATCAAGCTAGAAAATATTTTTCATAATACAATAAACGTAATAAATTAGTATAAGGCACAGTTCCCAACACAGTAGAGGAGCTTGATGAGAAATCTATAAGATTTGAAAATAAATAAGTACAGAATTTATTCTGTTTAAACTAACAAAAAATTAAAAATTATTCAATATATTCCATAATTTATACTTTACTCGCATTAAATTTTCTCTCATTTCATTTTTATAAAAAAATTTCAATTACTAGCTTTTGCATAGCGCGATTTTACGTTAAATAAAATATACGTTACAGAATCGTAAGATTCAAATTATTTTTGAACGTAACAGTTCGCGCGATGATGATCGATCGATGGTCGATGAAAATGGAAAAAGTGTTGAAAACGAAAAGAAGAAAGAGAGAAAGAAAAATCAAACGAGTCTAACCTCTCTACACCCACATCATGCGACGCCACAAAATAAGAGAGAGCTACTTAGTCCCCGCTCACGTTGAGCAGCAGCAACACGGCTACGCTACCTTGGTGAGACGCGCTGTCCCGTGCCGCCGTCCACATGCGAGTTCGCTTTGTAGCCGCATTTCTGGACGCGCCTGGACAGTCGCGAGACCCAATATTTCTGATCCTCGGGATTTGCCGCGAGCAGCAATAGCTCGCGGGCGCTGTTCGGATCGTAGTGCAGTTTGCACGGTGCTATGGCATCTTCTTTCTTATCCAAATGTTCCTTGTGAACCTTAATGCGGCACCCTGCGCGAGTAGAGTAACGCGTAAACAATTATGCGTTTGTTTTATACGTATATTAATTGTAAGATGTAAAAGAGCGATGACGTAGCGATGTATGTTGTATGTGTATGTAGGTAGACATAAATAATTATGATAAATACAACACGCACTTCGACATTCGAGGGCCGGCGAAGGCCGAAACATGTGCCAGAGTTGCTTGGAACAGACTTCGCAGGTCGTTGGCATGTGGTAAGATATTGATACGAATTCATGGCCCTTGAGCGATTGAGTACCAGGTTTGTCTGTAAGTTGTGGTAAATCCACTCCAGGCAAAGTATTGCCCTCATCACCAGGCCGCCTCGCTTCACCTTCACCAGCATAGAGTAACTGCATACGAGATATTAATTAATAAACAATGCAAATTGAAATATATACCTATATATATGTATATAACAATAACAACAATAAACAAATTCTTTAAATGCCGAATTACCGTGCACACTACGTCCAACAACAAAGGCGCGCGCGCGCCTTTTTTTTTTTTTAGAAAATATTAGAAAATATAGATGAAAGAGAAATGCATATACATGTGAAAAAGCTTCTAATATACAGATAAAAATTACTATAATACGCTATAAAAGTCATAAGAAAAATAAAAAAGAATAATTTGCCATATAAAGCAAACACTGGAATTTCTGAGAAAGTATCCAAAGAATGAAGAAATGTCGTGTGTGTACGTAGATACCTGAAATATTCTGGGTATATCTTTGGCATTGGCTCGGATAACATCACCCTGAGTAACAGATCTAACGTGGAAGACTTTATTCAAGTCTAATATCAGGACCGGATCGGCATTCATCTTGTCGTTTTCGCTGTTGTAGAAGATTATCTTCTTGGAGGAAACAACAACGTATTGCTTCTTCCAACCGTGCCGCTTAATGTTCTGCTTATTTGGCACATTTAACCAACCCTCCAATCTCATCGTACCGTGCTCGGATAGGACCGAGTCTTCACCGTCGTCGTTTTCTATAGACGAGACACTTGCAGTTTCCGAGTTGAGCGACGCGACTTTCATTTGCAGCGTTTCTATCTCCGAGTCCTTCGAGTCGAGTTCCATTTGCAACCTCAGCTTCGCTTGGTTTTCCTCCACGAGTTGCGCCTGTGAAAAAGGAAATCGTTTTTCATTTTTTATTCATTGTCAAGTAATGTGTCTAAAATTCTCTAAACTCTCTCAACACGTGTTGTGTCGCTTACTTGCAAATCCTGCAAATCCTTCTGCCATTTAGCTGCCAGCTGTCCATACTTCTCTCTCTCTTGAGTGAGTTCTTGCTGCAAGCGTCTGCAATCTTTCTCTTTCTTTCTCAGATCTGCGGCGGACGCTTTATTCTTATTTTTCCCGCTCGACGAAAGATCCTTCCGGTTCATAATCTCGGCTAACTTGTTGACTGCCTGCTGCTTCAACAGTTGCTCGGTCTTCAGCTTACTGCTAAGCTTGTCAATTTCCTCCATGTTTGACTGTGCTTTACCTAATTGTTCCTGCAATTCCTTATACCGCTTGCTCAAGTCTTCTTTCTCCTTCAGAGTTTGATCGATCGATTTCTTGAATTCACTCTCATTCTCCTTAAATCTGTTTATGACTTGTTCCTTCGCGCTTAATTCCTGATGATGTTTGGTCACTCCGTCTTTGTACTCCAATTCTTTCATGGTTCTTTCTTTCTCCAGGTCCGCCACAGTTTCCTCCGCTATGGATCTGGCTAGAGCCTCGCTGTCACCGCGCGCCAAGGACAACTGCAGTTGATGAACCAGAGAGCTACGTTCTTCTTCCAATTCTTGCTGCAATCTTATTTTCTCATCCAACTCTTCGCGCAACTCTTGTGTCTGGGTTTTGTACAGAGTCTGAAAAAAGAAAAAAGTTGTATAACTTTCTCTCTCTCTCTCTCTCTCTCTCTCTCTAAAAATTTCAATTTTACGACAATTTTTCATAATAAATATATCTTTAAATTATTAATTTTCACATTTTAAAATTTTTCATTTGTATTGTTCCTTTGTATTGTTAGACAACAATTATTAAGTGGGAGCAAACTTTAGTTATCATTTACCGAGAAATAAGCTTCGGCTTCCAATTGCTCCTGCAGTTCCTTCGTCTGTAGCTGATCGACATTCCTTTGTGTCTTCAAGTGATGTAACTCCTCATCTATTTGCCGCTTAGCCTCCCTCAACTGAGCAACCTCTCCGATTAATTGTTGTTCGCGAGCGCGAAGCCTGCCGGCTTCGGATGTTTGCTGACCTAATTCGGTCTGCAGAACATTCCTTTTCTGTTGCTCCTGCTCAACTTGGCCTTGCAGAACCTTGACTTTCTCCATCTCTTGCCTGTGCTCACCCTCTAATTTCTGCAATCGTTGCTGTATCTGTCTGTAATCGACAGAGAGCATTGACGTTTGACGTTCCTTTTCCTGCGCAAGTAATTCCGCACGTTGTCTGCCACTTTTCTCTTCGTTTAATTTTGCTTGTAGAGCTGTAATTAATAAATCAATAAGCGTAAGTAATAATGTAATACATTTAAACTTAAACTCAATGTAGAAATTAGAATGAATACATACATAATAACAAATGTCATTAGAAAAATACGCAGCAGTAATAAAAAGATAAATAAACAATTAGTATGATGAGAAGAATTCCGGTTTATATAATACATACACATACACGCACACGTTACGTGCGCGCGTTACGTTAAATTACACAATTAAATATATACAAGGGAAAAAGGTGTACCTTCGGAAATTCCATTCTTTTGCACTGTATTGCATAGACAAAATAATAAAATCGATCTGTACTTTCATCAAGAATACAATGTCTCTAATTTCATGCCAACTTGAGAAGCAAGTACCTTTGACAACTTCCAGATTAGCTTCCTCCTTAGAAAGAATGCGCGAACGCTCCGTTTCTTGGTGCGCCACGACTTCCTGATTGTACCTGGCTTGTGCTGCTTTCAATTCGAGGGTTAAACTAGCAGCTTCTTTCTCCAACGCGGAAACTCTTTCGGTCAGTTGTCTATTGTCCAGAGTCGCCTTCTCCTCCTTCTCATGGCTGTGTTCTAACTCAAGATGCAAAGTGGAAAGACGAGTCTCCAATTCGGCCGTCAACAATGACGCTTGTGATCTTGAACTACGTTCCTTGGAAAGTTGGCCCTGCGAAAAATCAAATCAAGCAATTTATATAGAAATAATTAATATTTTTTAAATTTCAAATATTACATTCTACAAGTATTAAAAATCAGCTTTTTATTATGCAGCTTGTGTAACTTGTGTGTATAAATTGTAGTTTTTCGTGTACAATTTTACGTGTACCTATACTCGGAAAAAGATTGATCGAAAAAGTTTATTGTGCACATTACAGCAGATTATACCTGAAGAGTAGCAACTTCCTGCTGCAAGTTATCACGCTGCGCTTGCAGCTGAGCTCTGGCAACTTGCAACTCGTTGGCCATTTGCTCGGCGGCTTGACGTGCCACGGTGACTTCCGTCGCTTGCTTGCGCAATCTCGTAACTGTTTCCGTTTCTCTCTCCAGTTTGCATTGCATCTCTTTGATCTGTTTCTCCAACGTCGTCACTCGCTCGGATGTCTGCTGTGAATTGCTAGCGTCTCGCGCCCGTCTCGTCTGCTCCTCATCAAACTTTTTCTTCACCTCTACTAGCAACGACTCTGCCTTACGACGAGTCTCAGTTTCGTGCTCTACTCTGCGTTGCGCTTCCTTATAGTTGTGTCTGAGTAGCGTCAGCTCCTTATCCGCCCTACCAACTTCCTCGCGCAGCTCGGCCTCTCGACATGCCATCGCTTCCAATTGCGTGTTTAGTGCCTTTTGTCTCGACTCCATCGTCTCTATCTGCCGCCTCTCGCGTTCCAGCAAATTCTCCAGCTGTGAGATCTTGACATCGTCAGTAGTACCATTGTTGACATGATTCTCGAGACCGTCTACGGATTCCTTGCCATAAGAAACCATTAACTGGTAATCACCCGAGTAAGTGAATCCGATGAAAGGCAAATGATTTCCGGAAAAAGCTTTAGGCACTGGGAAACTCTCCTCTGGTCCATCCTCCTTGTCGACATCATCGAAATTGCTGGTATCGTCATCCCCGGAAAGTTCAGGCACTACCGGCGGCACGCATTCCCTCAGATTGTCAAAGGTCCATTGATCATTCTTGAAAAACGGATGGTTTTTTATTTCGTCGACGCCATTGCGACCCAGGCGCTTTGTTCTATCGGTGAGGAAGCCGCATATCAAGTTCTTTGCTGAGTGAGATATCTCTACGTTCTGAGGGAAGTACAGGGAGTTTCTGTGGTCCATGATCTTGGAATATGTGCCGACTAAAGAATCGGCAAAGAACGGTGTATCGCCAAACAACATCTCATACAAAAAGACACCCACGGACCACCAGTCGCATTCGCGGCCATACACTCCTTCTCCACCTTGCGACTGTAGAACCTCCGGAGATATGTAATCGGGGGTGCCGACCGCAGTATCGGACCGCACTAAACCATCCTACGAAACACAAAATGCAAACTGCATCAGAGAAAAAAAGATTAAACTATCCAACGGAGTAAGGGAGTGTTTCCGCATCGTCATTCACATTTAAAAAGTCTTTTTTCCAAACTTGCGAAAATATTTGTCTCTTCAATCGCGAATTAAATCAATTGAGATATTTATTTTATTTGAATAAATCACATGAATCACGTCAATCGTGTAAATCATGTAAATCGTCAGGCATCTATCTAAGATTCGACATCGGACTCAAAGTTATTATTGGACTCAAAATTATATTGGATAAATAAAAAAGGTGAAATAAAAGGTGAAAGACAAGTGAGAGACAGATCACTTACAGCATCCATCCTCATACATGTGCCAAAGTCGGCGAGCTTCAAATGGCCATGCCTATCGAGTAACATGTTATCCGGCTTCACGTCTCTGTGAACGAAACCCATATTATGTATCGCATCCAACGCGAGCACCACTTCGGCGCAGTAAAATTTCGCCCATTTCTCCGGCACTTCGTAATTCGACATCAAGTTGACCAGATCCCCGCCCGGCATGTAATCCATCACCATGTAGAGATACTTTTGGTCTTGAAACGCAAAGTGGAGCTGAACTATCCACGGTGAATTTGCGTGAGCCATTATATCTCTCTCTTCCCAAAAAAATGCAGAATCTGACCTTTTAATCTAAACAGATGACAGGTGGAAAAAAAAAGCGCCAGATAAAAGAGAGAACATTTACACCCTCGAGGATGAATGATGAAAGAGCGAGTAGCGAGTCTTACCATTTCAAATTTACTAAGTAATTTCATAGCATAAACTTTTTGCGTAGATTTGTGTCTAACCAACTGCACCTCTCCGAACGCGCCGCGGCCAATTACTTTGATCAAAGTAAAATCGTCCGTGCGCATTCGCATTTTATAAATCTCTTGGGCTACAGAGTCATCTGTAAGAATGAAGCACGAGGGAATATCGTTAATTAACTTTACTCGATATAATGCGGCTACTAGAGAAAGACGAATGTGATGTGTATTATTTTATTATGTTTACGATAACATGATATTACTTACATCTATTCATATAAGCTTCTATATTTTTCATACGTTTTACGCTCGCGTGATCGCAATCTGTTACCAGAGCTTGAACCGTGTCCAACAAACAGTCGATATTCGTGACGCTTCTCGGATCCTTGATACGCTCCTCCAAAGCCCGTAGGCGTCTCCGCCTGTCTTCGTCGCACACCGCATCCATCTCTCCTTTTTATAGGAGTTTGGATTATTGTGCCTCAACACACTCTCTGTGTACTCTGTTTCTGTCACATTAATAGAAAGACTATCGAGAGAGACTAATCGCAAGGCTAAATGTAGCATCGACTTGAGCTACATTGAGGTGTAACAACTGCGACGCCCGATGAATGCTCCATACTTTCTAAACAAACAAATGTTGTGAATATAAGTATACAAATCTCTTGAGTTGTTATGATTATATAAATATAACAATATTATAACGTAAAATTCTAGACGCGTCGCCGGGTTTTTCTCTACTAATCTGTATAGATTGTACGCTAGTGACATAAAAATGTTGAACAAACACCTCGCAAGAGACACAAAAATGACGCGGGGCTTGGCAATATATTCAGTTCTTATGTAATATAACAGGATATATACGAAAGGAGCATAACGTTAGCATTGCAGTGCCAAGATGAAATAAACAACTAAATTTGTTGGGAATTGCGGTAAGCCGGTAAGTAGCACATAGACGTTTGCTGTAAACGTAACTTATCCACGCAAATGCAGTTTCGGAGTCGAGCCCGCACGCTGCAAGGCGACGTCTCGGTGACGCCGCCGCCGCCGCCGCCGCCGCCGCCGCCGCCGCCGCCGCCGCCGCGTTGACGGCGTAGAACGGAAAAATGTGCATTCAGCCGCGCGTAATTTGCAAGGCAATGATGATGATGATGATGACCTCGCATGCGACAAAGAGCAATCATCTCCGACGGCGTCCAAGTCTCGAGAGCCAAGCGAGCGATTGCAGCCCCAAGGTGCGGAGAGAGGTTACGTCAACGGCAGCGCAGCGGTTTTACGACATTACGACGGCGACACGTCAAATCGGCCGAAAGCCGAAATGTGATACGCGCGCGCGCATCGTGGCGAAAACCTCGCCCGTCTCTCTTTCGGAAGAGCCTCGCGGTCACTCGCGGTCCTCGCGGATGACGCGAGGCGAGGCGAAGCGTTCGCCGCGCCGTAATCGCCGTACCGTACGTAGCAGCGATCATACGTACGCGCGTACATACCTCACCGACGACATCACCCTACGTCCCGTCGCTGGCAGGCAACGTCATCCAGACGAATAAAAATCCCCGGGGAGAAGGCGCATCTTTCCGCAAGGCACACACGGGCGTATGCGTTAATGCGTACAGCTGAGCCGTGCGTGCGCCATTCGGCCAATTTGCAACGGTTTACGGTTGTCGAAGCCACCGAGAGAAAATCCGCCTCCCTCTCTCACTCTCTTCTTTCTCTTTCCCTCCCGCTTTCGGCTTCTTACTTACTCCGTCTGTCTGTCTCTCTCTCTCTCTCTTGCAAATACCTAAGGCTCTAGTCCGGTAACGCGAGCCGTTTCCGCGCGACGGAAATCCAATCGGAGATTCTCTCGTCTCGGCGACGTCGCGATCGCGCGTCGCGTCACGTTCACGACTCACGACAGTCACGACGACGGATCCGTGCGCGCGGGTCGCGCGGTCGACCCGAGAGAAACGGCAAACACCAGGTGCACTTCCGCGGCACTTTCGAGTCGATCCCTTGCCGCGGGATCATCGATCGTCACGATAAACGTGTTCGGTCTGAAATCGCACTGCCAGAGGAGGCTTTGCGCGTTACCGCTTCGCTTGGCTAGCCGCTAGCTAGGGTAGGTAGGCGAAAGAGGGGAGAGCAGGGGAGGTACGTCGTCGTCGGTCGTCGTCTCGCGTCCTGCCGCGTCCTGCCGCGTCCGCAGGCGCAGGAGATCGTGGAGAATTAGAGAATCGTCGCGAGAGAACGGAGCAGTGGCGCACGGAGCAAGCAAGCTTAGCAAGCGTCAACCACACACACTTTGATGAAAAGCGTCGACACGGGTGACTAAGGAAGGGGGAGATTGGTAGTGACTGGTGGCGGTGGGGTGGGGCGGTGTTGGCGGCGGAGGTGGCGGTGGAGGTGGCGGCGACGACGATGCGAATGATGCGATGATGGTGGCAACGGTGGCAACTCTATCGGTCTCGTCGGTCTAACAATAAGATGGCGTAGCGTTTCGCTACGACTGACTCGCGAGAACATCGGGAATATCGGGATTCGGGCACAACACACTACGACAAGGACAAGGACGCGAGCTTGGTCGGCGCTCCGTCGGCGCCGTGGACGTTTCCCGCGCCCACACTGGCCTCCCCACACTTCGCCGCGACGGCGACGACGACGACGACGACGACGGCTACGGCCGCTCCTCTCCGTCTCCCCCTTGGTTGTTTGGCTGTTACGCGCGAATATTGCACACTATATATTTATAGCGCTAATGCGTATCCCACAGAAATAGGTGAGTATGAGGCGTAACGCGTCATCGCCCGCGCCCGCGCGCGCGCGCGCGCGCGGGGGGGCAGCTTCCTGGCACGTGAGTCTTGATGAATCCGCTGGCCGATTCACCCTCCAGTGACTTTCCGTTTACGTTGCAGTAGCTCGCGAGTACATGTAACACGCCGTAAAAATGAGTCTACCCTGCGACTGGCAAACTAGCAAGCAGAAACTGTCGGAACGTGGCCAACATCTGCTCGAGACTGGACAATGGTCCGACTGCAATTTCATCGTCGGCCAGGAGCCCCAGCAGCAGACTCTCAAGGGTCATAAACTGTTTCTGGCCATGTCCAGTCCGGTTTTTGAAGCCATGTTCTTTGGTGGCATGGCAGAGAAAAATGATCCGATACCGATAAGGGATGTTCAGCCCGAGGCGTTCAAGGCCTTACTCGAGTACATATATACCGATAAAGTTGAACTCGGTTCCTTCGAATTAGCCTGCGAGTTATGTTACTGTGCCAAAAAGTACATGCTACCATCCTTGGTAGAAGAGTGCACAAAATATCTGTGGTGCGATCTCTCGCCAAAGAAAGCGTGCAGAGCGTACGAGTTTGCCAAGCTTTTCGAGGAACCTGTCCTGATGGAGAAATGTCTGCAGATCATACGCACCAAGACGGACGAAGTGTTAAAGGAGTCCAGCTGGGAGGATGTAGAGCTAGGGACTCTTCTCAAGGTGTTGGAGCAGGACGATTTGCAGATCAGCTCGGAGATAGAGTTATTTACCGCGGTGGAGCGATGGGCCAAATCTGAGTGCTCTAGAAAGTCTCTTGATCCAACCAATGGAAAATCTTTAAAATCCGTCATTGGGAATGCTCTCTTAAAGATAAGATTTCTTAGCTTGACACCACAAGAATTTGCAGAGGGTCCTGGCATGTCTCCTTTGCTCACCAAGGACGAGGCTTTCGCTATACTGATGAACATACTGTGTACTGGTAACAAGACACCTATGCCCGAAGGTTTTTGCACCAATTCAAATAGCAGAGCAAAACCAGTCAAAACTCATTCCACAAATCTTGGACACTCCACAAGTATGGGACTGCCTGTAAGTAACTGCCTCTTTCTGCGTATATCATGTCATTGGCTTGTCTAGAAAAATATATGCTTCTTTCCTGCTGTCTGACTTGACATGCCCATGCGGAGAATAGTGACAGTGTGTGTGTGTGTGTGTGTGACTATAATCCCTCTATTCTTAATTCTGTAAATTTGAAATTTTCTCTTCTTGCTTCAAATCAAAATAACTGTATATTTTACATTTATTAGCAATAGAATAAGAAAACATTTATCGTAATTTCAATATTTTCCTCATTGAATTTCTCACATTTCCTCGTCTAGATGATGACTTCAAGACATATCTTTGCTCCGTACGGCAATTTAAATATCCCTGTACGTTCTGGCTTTTTAAACGACTCTGGCGAGTCCAGCACTAGTACGATGCGAAATACATCGCCAATACTAGTGGATGCAACCATAAACAAGGACTCTGGAAACTTGCCCACTACTTCTTCCACGACGGGAGTGGTTGTACGTGAGGGGCCAAAGTATTATTGTCTCAGATCGGTGGTTCAGCAAACGGATTGCTTGAATACAAACGTGTTGGACTGTTCCGTCACGTTCAGTGTAGATAAAAATATTTGTGTGGTGGGTGTACAGGTTCCTACGCAGATTGCAGCGGTAAGCTAGAGATTATATATAATTTATTATATTATATCCATCTGGTAATATACTGTTGCTTATCGTACACATCTCGCTCGTTTCATTTATAGGCGAGTAATTTTACTCACGCTATAGATGGTGATACGTCTTATACTGAAATTTTATACGCTCATCTTCTCGATTGCGACGGTACCCGGTTGACGTATACACATTTCACCACTAAAGCGAATTTTGGTACTCTCGTGGAAATTACTTTCAATCGACCAGTTTACATTCAGAAGCATAAGGTTCGTCATTACAACATAATTTTTGCTTTTGCCTGCTTAGTGTTATGTGTAATCAGCTACCTACATGTGTATGTCTCGAGTAAAAATATTAAATTAAATTCATTTAAAAAACATCTTTTTTTTTATTCTCAAAGCTTCTCATTTTCTCACGTTAGTGTTTTTAATTGTACGAAAATTTATATTATGGAAATATTATTTTATTCTGTATCATTAACAGGTTTATCGAGTTGGCGTTGTATTTAATAAGGCTGGATGGTATCCAGTAGGAGTTTGCGCCCAAAATATGTCCTGTGATTCTGTGTTCTTCTCATTTGGCGTGGGTAATACCGCACATGCAATTCGTGACGGTCTTATTCGATCTATAGTTTTCACATATCATTAACGCAACGAATCAAGTGGCAGATAAAAAGTCGCGTACATATTTTAAATTAGTGATAAGATACAAATCTACTCTTACGTCGTGTAGGTACATTATATTTATTATTGTTATCTTTTTTTTTAAGTGCTCATCGGTGTTTTTCATTGCAAATTTTGAAACCTTGAAGAAATTTTGTGTGTGTGCGTGCGCGCCAATATACTAATCAATTGTAATTATTGAGATGCGGTTTATTCAAAAATTGCTTTTTTTTTTTTTTTTTTTAATTTATACGATCAGTATTGATGTTATACAGTATACTTTTGCATACAGTGTGTATTGTATTGTACAATATACTTTTACAAAATGACAAACCTAAATTTTACTGTTTAAATACTTTTATTATTTTGCCCTACTTGATATATTTTCATATTTCAATTTTCCTTATAAAAAAATCTTACTTTAAGAATACAATGCTTATAAAAGGTAAAAAATTTATAACTTAAAAGTTCACGTACAATTCTATGTTTTAATTATATCTATCTGTTAAACAAATCTCAAAATATTACTTTAAATTATTAATTATAAAATATATGCGCTTATAACATTAATATTGATTTTTTTTCTGAATGTGTGTGTGTGTGTGTGTGTGTGTGTGTGTGTGTGTGTGTGTTTTATAATATCAAATGCTATTAAATAATAACAAACCATTTTATAAAACAAAATCAGTCTATACACACATTCGTGTCTAACTTTTTACAATATTATTAAAGAACTCATCACTATATCATTATTCCATATATTTTGTGGCACTTGTTGCTCCATTATAACAAGATATTTCGTCATATCATACGTATATGCGCATTATAAGCAATAACATTTGCTAAAAATCTTTTTATAAAAATATACTGAATAACGTCTCTTTTTTTTTTTTGTAAATGTCATGTGTTTCATAAGTACATAAAGTTCTAGTTAAAAATAGTCTAAAAATATTACGTCGTATATAACAGATTTTGTGAATGAAACTCAAACTTTTATGTTTTATGTACGATGAAATCCCAGGTATCTTTCCATCTTAATTTTATCACGTCCTTGGCAGTGAGAGCTGATGTCCCATAACTAAATACAATAAATTTCTTGAATACATAAATAATAAAAAGTATCCAAGCGATGATACCACAGATTATGATGTACAATGAAACACTCCACGCTGAACGATGAGTGCTGAAATAGAAGATATAACGATTATTTCATAATTATTTTGTATGAACCGGAATTTGAGCTTTAGTAAATCGGGTAACATACCTAATTAAATAATACAGATGATCAATTGTGGCTGCCATTAATAAGACTTTGAAAATGAAGGCTGGTAAATAATGATGCAAGAACAAAGTTCGTTCAACGAATAAGAAAGGTACGAAATGAAGTAGGTACCCAGCTAACAGTACGTAAGCGTTGTTAACAAACTTTTCCCACTCTTCCTCTGGGATGTCGAAACATTGTCTTCTCCTCCTCATTAAATAAAATATCAGCAGCGTCACATATGCAATTATTGAGATCGTACCGGAGTACCAAATCACAATATTCCCCAAAAGATGCACTTGTGCCTGAAATAATGGCAAACAAAATGTTTACTTTATAGAAAAAAGCCAGTAAAAATTTGAAACCTAGTCTGTGTGTCTAGTGATCGAAAATCCATTGGAAAATGTGAAAAAAGAAAAGTGTAAAAACAATATCAAAATATCAAATGTAATTGAAATATATATCTTATTTTCCAATATATAGTTTTAATAATATTGATCGTGTGAGATAAGCATTCGGATGTAGGATAGGACTTACATTGCTGTCGTTAGATACCCAGTACGCGATCCCGCGGGACATGAACGGCCACTCGAGAGGTCCGCTGGAATACATGTGACTGTTCTGACCCTCTTGGCCACTAAACAACATTTTAACCTGCAGCTCTGCGAATTTCTCCCAAAAGCTCAAGGTGGTTGCCTGCAATGGTATCATCTCTGCGCTAATCAGCTCCCGTTCCCGCTGCTTTTGATCCTCATTTTTAGTATACCGGTGTTCCTCAACGTTCCAAATGGAATTAGTCTGGTCCACCAGCCGATCCGCTACAACTTCGTGCTGGTTGAAACCCCAGTCAGGCAATTGCCTGCCGCTAAACTTCAATGCGAACTCGGCTCCATTCGCGTGTACGTGTATCAGCCGTACCTGGCTCTGAATCGCGTGCCAGGCATCGCCAGAGTGGTCTCTGTTTGTGATCTCCACCCGCCACAAATTCTGCGCTGGCATGGACACGTTATAGTCGATGTAACACGACACTTCCTGGCTCTGTGGCGTCATCGGCGCCGCAACATCATGCGAATTCAACGCTCTACTGGTGATCCCGTGTACCAGTTGAATCACATCACCATGCCGAATGGGCTCGCTGGGTTTTGTCACTACTAGATCGTTTTTGTCCGGCTTCTTGACAATCCACCAGTTGTTAACGTCCTTGAACGAATAACACGTGACCTGCTGCTGATGAGAGCTACCACGACCGTCGGGATACCGTAATGGGTACACTTGATTGTGACTGTGCAGCCAACATGCTCTGCCGTATGTGTGTCTAAGAGTGATCTGTGAGCCGTGCGTCACTTCCAGAGGTTGCCCTTTCGTGATACTGGCGAGTCCTCCTTCCAGACTCGCTTGAAACGCGCTCGTCATCACCGAGTCGTGCGGTCCTGCCTTGGAGAGTACCGCCAGATGTACATAGAATATGCTCAAATATACGGCAGCAATAACAGCGATTAGTACAACGAATCTTAGTATAAGATGAATCCACAAGACTGTGTTTGATAGAGTCTTTCTTGAGAGCAGGGACCAGTAATCATGAGCGATTAAGAAGAGCGCGAGAATCATAGAATAAAATCCAACGTACTTGACGCTGTAAAGAAATGAAATGTAAGTCATTAATTATCGACTCAAGCGAGTCATGATAAATAGCGGGAGAGGTGAGACGAAAACGAAAAGATTGTAACTGTACCATAATGCACACGTTAGATTTACGATGCCTAATATCAGCCACAACCACCAGGACGCTGACGTCGGTTGATCCATAACTTTCCGAAATTTCACGATGCACAACAACCCGAGCAATGAGAAATGCATCAAGATACTTTCCATCAGGACAAATCTCGACTGTGTCAATAATGCATTATCTGAAATTGCAATAGCTATAGTAGATCAGTAAATTGATGAAATCACTGCAAATATTATGCGTTTTAATTTAAGTGACTGCAGTAGTAAAGATAAGTTAGTCAAATTTTAGCAAAGATCAACGTGGTGGATTTAATTTTTAAGTAACAAATTATATACTACATGTTAATAATTATATGTCGGGCATACAATAGAATCTCGCTACTATATATGTATTATACTGTATTATCCTCAACTCAAGCATAGCAAAATTTAAACATTATAAGCATGCTAGTATTTTTTTTTTTTTTAATTTAAAAACAAAAATAAAGATCGAAGAATATGACACATTAGGGGGAAGGACTGTAGTGTCATGTGCTGCAATCGCACGATCTTCCGCGTAACGCACTTTCTATAATTCTATATAAGAGAGCTAGAAAATTACTCTACCGAGTAAGAGTACAATTCCGCCAATTGCTGCCGCCCATTGCCTCAAACCCAGCTCCAAGATAAGATAATATCCCGTGGAGATTAATAAACTGCCGCATATCGCCGGTACCAGGCGCAACGCGTACAAAGGAATCGCGTCGCTGTAAGGACTTCCGATCCTGTCGAACTTGAATTGCCCGTCGAATCCAGCCAAGTACGCCGCTGCAGAGACCAATTGCTTCCCTAAAGGCGGATGGGAGTCAAAAAAGAACGTCCTCTTCATATATAATCCGACGTACTTGCCGTAATGCAGTTCGTCGAAGCTGTAAGAGAGACAATAATCATAATAAACAATAGATGATAATTGAGAATGAAAGAAAAAAAACTATAATGATAACCATTTAAATTTTCTGTTAAATAAGATAAGTAGAATGAGAAATAAATAAATGTATGTATAACAATACATATATTGCAAGGGCTAGAATAATTTGTCGAATTTTTCATCAGAGAGTTTTTTCAAAGCTATACCTATACTTTTGTGATGAATCAGCTGTATATGATAAAAACTGATTAAAGATAATTTTAAAGGCAAAGTGCATTCAGTCTGATATATGTATTTCCAAATTATACAACTTGTTTTTATCTATTGTTATTAATTTTAGTTTCTACAAGCGAACGACTGCTATACAAATATAAATATTTTATCGAAATTACAGAAGATAAGAATATTATAATATTCGCATATCTCCATATTATCGTAATGATATAATATGGATATTATCACAAATATAATATTACAAATGTATTATTTGTCAAAAGTGTGCATGTGTACTTACACTATACTGCGCGGTTCCTCGAGGCGATAAAGACGAGTGCAAATGCCCGCAATTAATAAAATCGACGCTATCAGATCAATCTCCAAGCTGATCCTGATTCGAGCGCGAACCGCGTTGCTGGATAAAAATTGCTTCGACCCGATGGAATATGATGGATTTGCTTTGTTACTTTCTATCAAAGTGATATTCGACTCTGTTTGTCCATTCATCTGTATTATAAATAAAAATCAATACAGTAATTAACAAAATGCAATCAAATCTAATAATTAATTGATTTTAGAAACTGCAAGCAACCAAATACTATAAGTAATTTTAAAAGATGTACATATATTATAGATAACTTTTTCATCAGAAATTTTACTCTGGCCTATTTATAATTAATCTATTACGTTTGTCTATTACGAATGCAATGAAATATGTATAATAACAACACAGAAAATTTAAATATATACATATATTTAAATTTAAATTCAATTTTTTTCCAATTTGAACATAAAATCATTGATGTTGAATAAAAAAATATCTTTCTCTCATACAAAACCAGTCTGGCATCTTCCAGTAAAAAAAATAAAATAAAAAAAAAGCAATGGTAAGGTACTATATAAGACTATATATTTATATCTTTTACTACACTATTAAGGTATATATATATTTTTTGAATCTCCTAAAGATTTCTAGATCCATAAATCGGCCGTATAAGATCAATATATAAGTACGCTACATCTCAGTTTTCTCTAGTTTCTCACATTGAATTTATAAAAATTCGTATCGTATTATTGTTTTGATTCTGCACTCATCGGAAACGCCGCAGAGATATATATACTCCCGCGCGTGATTCTCTGAGCTGCGTTCAGGAATTCACGGTATATCATTTTATTTTATTACCTTTTATTCACCGAATTTTAAACAAGGATAAAATGAATGATCTAGATACACCTAGGTGAAGTTTCTGAACTCAGCCCTGCGGGAATCATTCCGAAAGTCGTCGGATTTGAAGGTAGGTAGCTCACATCGTCTCTTTGAATCATCCTCGGTTCATCCGTCATTGCGTCGGCGTCATGCTTGCTGTCATGCGGTCTCGCTCGTCTGCGCCGGACTTCCATCGCCGCCCCGAAGAGATCCGCTTTGTGACAAGGTAGAATATCAGAGACAAGGCGGAAGACGAAGAGATAAAATCAATCGGATGACACCGGTCGAACGTGGTCTCTCACTTGACCACGTCACCTCAGATTCAGGTCAGAGGCGGAGGTCGGAGACTCTCGCTGGTCTCGCTCTCCCGAAAGCCCCGACGAGTCCCGCTCGCTCGGAACGATAGCGATGCAACAGTTTAGCCGCCGTTTAAAAGGTTTAAAAGGGAACTCGCGAGACCTGGCCGCGCGCTGCGCGCTGCGCCGCCGTCTGCCGCCCACGAACGACGACCCACGTCAGCGTCGTCAGCGCGGGTCAGCGGCGCCGCTCGACGGCCTCGATGCTGGCGGCTGGACCTCGTCGTTTCTCACACCGTTCTCACGACTTTCACGAGCTCGTGACCGCGCAGTGACGTCGTCGATCCTCCCTGCGTTGACTCTTCCTCTCGGACTCGTCGGCCGTCGGGGATCCGTGATCCACAGCTGTGAATGCTGTGATCGTGGATGATTGCCGATTATACCGGCACTTGACGCTCTTTCGCACTAGCAGTTTCGAAACGACCCCGCTTGACCGTGCTTGGCAGTTGGTAATTGGCACTATTGGCAGTGGCGTCGGCAATAGTTTCGGCACGATCGAGGGCATCGAGGCTGAGTTTCTCAGTGCACGACTGCACGCTCTCACGCGTTGCTTAGGTTAGAGTACGGATTTGATATAACGGTATCGTCTCCAAGAATTCTATTCGATGGTGATTCTGCGCATCGCGCGGCAAAATTTTACGTTCACCGCGGTTCAGCGTTTATTAATTCCTTCTCATTATTGAAATTCATCTTTGTGGCTTTACCACAAGCTGTCATCACTAATTGATTCACGTGCATGTTCTCTGCATCTCTCATTCGCTCAACGCTCTCTTAAAATAATATGTATGTATCTATAGGTATTTGTAACGGAATAAAAATGACACGAACAAGATTTTATTTTTCTGGAAATACTTGATAAGTACGTATATATAATAGGATTCTCCTGGAGGTTTTTCCTGAAAATAATGACAGATTGTTTAATCTTTACCACGTCCTCCGATATAGCACTCGCGGCCGCAAAAATCAGTAAAAAGATATACCTATACGTCGTTATTCCTTTTACAATTTTTTTCTTTTGATATCCGTTATTTTTACTAATATTATTACATCACATATGTTTTTACCATGTATATTTCAGCTACTCGCTGCGTGTCAAGAAGAGAGATTCACAAAATATTCATATTATTATTGCATCTATTTTTGAATAAAGAGAAGATATAATCACGACTTGGTTATCACTAGTCTTAGTACAAACATGGACAAAGTATTGTGCCCGATATGTGCCAAGGAATACGCTTCCTCTGTCATCGAGTCTCATGCCAGCAAGTGCTTATTCTTGAATGAACCTACGAAAGATGAAAGCACAATGTTACTTAAAGAATCCAGTCCCATGAATAAGAGAAGCAAACTGAAGCCAGCAAGTGTGACAAAAATTAATCAAGCGCCCGTTAAGAGAAAGAGTTCTTTGGATCAGTTTCCTTCCCAAAGTTTCAGGGACGAAGAAGATGTTAAAAATGACGTGCTCTCTCCACAGAAAAGTGTAATTTTTTATTATAAAATTGTAATTATATAATAGTATATAGTATAATACATTAATATATTATATAAATGACACACAATGCTCAACTATTTTATAACATGTGTCAATTTTTCTTGCGCTGTAGTTTTTCCTTTATAAGATATTCCTATATATATATATACATATAAATAATATACATATATATTGTTACAGACATCAGAAAAGGAATGTAAGAAGATGCGCGGAAACAAACATGTACCGCTCGCAGAACAAATGAGACCTACATCGCTATTAAACTTTGTAGGCCAGAGACATATCCTTGGACCTCGTACTATGCTTTCTGAACTCCTGCAAAAAGGCGAAATACCTAACATGATTCTCTGGGGTCCGCCTGGATGTGGCAAGGTAGGTACTATTATTCTTGGAATTTTCTATGCGAATTAAATATTTGAATATGTTTAACGTATGCATTGATTTCTTTCTCTTTTTGCAGACATCTTTGGCTAATGTCATCGCGCACATGTGCAAGAATGACACGAGTCATAAGCTACGATATGTTAAGCTCTCCGCTGCAATGGCCGGTGTCCAGGAAGTGAAGGAAGTCATCGGTATCGCCAGTAATCATGCCAAGTATGCGCAGCGTACGATAGTGTTCATGGACGAGATACATAGGTTCAACAAAATGCAGCAGGATGTGTTTCTACCGCATGTCGAATCAGGAACTATTACTCTGATCGGGGCGACCACGGAAAATCCTTCGTTCAGTTTAAACTCCGCATTGCTAAGTCGATGCAGAGTGATTGTTTTACAAAAATTATCTATCGCGAATTTACTATCGATTTTGAAGCGTGCGGTAATTTCGCTGGGAGGTATAATACATGCATTGGATAAAAGTGAAAACACTTTGCAAGAAATCAGCGAAGCCGAAGGAAATACACTAGAGAAAGTCAAAGTCGTCGAGATGGAACCGTCCTGCAATACGAAATTCATTATAGACGAACCGACGATAGAATGGTTGGCTGGGACTTGCGATGGTGATGCTCGAATAGCGCTGGGAGGACTAGAAATGGCAGTACGATGTAAAGCACCGAATGAGGAGAAATTGCTCAACATTGGTCCAGTTATAATAACGCTCAATGATATCAAGGAAAGCCTGAAGAAAACGCACATGTTATACGACAAGAAGGGTGATCAACATTACGATATGATTTCTGCGTTGCACAAGTCTGTTAGAGCCAGCGACGAAAATGCTTCGCTTTATTGGTTGACGAGAATGATCGCTGGCGGCGAGGATCCGGTTTATATCGCGCGAAGATTAGTGAGGATGGCTAGCGAAGATATCGGTTTAGCTGACCCGAAAGCTCTTGGTTAGCATTTATTTATAATTTCAAGCTCTCACACGCTCCCACACAAAATTATATAATTCTAATTACTAAAGAAAATAATATTACGATATAATTAGAATTACATATATCGTTTTTACATATAATAGATTTGCAGAAATGTATTAATATTTATGATAACATGATTGTGATTAAGCTTCACTAGAGCTGACAAATATATTTAATATACATTAAACAAATCTTATCTGCAGGAATAGCGGTACACACAATGCATGGCTGCAAAATGATTGGAATGCCGGAGTGTGATGTTCTTTTGGCACAATGTACAATATATTTAGCGAAAGCACCAAAATCCAGACTAATGGAAGATGCACTTAGAGCTGCGCAAAGAATGGTAGCAGAGCATAAGGGCCCGCAGCCAGGAGTGCCCCTGCACTTGAGGAACGCCCCCACAAGACTCATGAAAGATTTGGGTAAACATTTTATCTTCCATAGTCCTCAATTTGCTCTTACTGTTAGTAAATCGACTTATTATTTCAGGATATGGTAAGGGATACAATATGATGCACAAAGATGAATCTGGATTAGGCTATCTACCAGAGGGATTGGAAAATTTAGATTTCTTTGAAGATGATGACGACGATACCTAGAAATGTGCTGTGGTAGCTTTAATTTAAATATATTTTGTCATGATATTTCATTTTTTTTATAACAAAAGGATATATTTTTACAAATTTTATATTGAATTCTAGCTCTCTCTCTCTCTCTCTCTCTCTCTCTCGCGCGCGCGCGCGCGCGCTCATACACACTCAGGGATTAAAATTTTAAGCATAAACAGAGATATAAGCTACATGTATATATATATATATATATATACTGTAATATCTACATATGCATATATGTGTAAAATTTTTATAATTTATATGCAAGATGTATATAATACTGTAAAAGTATTGAAACATATTTTTAATCATTGCTCGCGAGATTTTAATCCGATTTTAATTCAGTTGAATAAAAATAGCTTATAAATTTAAAAGCTTAGCGATAATTTTTTCGTTTTTTTTTTTTTGTGTATAACAAATTTGACTCGTCTTCAGTTTCCTTATGAATGAGTACATTTTTTCCAAATGATCGTTTTATTATTAGCGGGCATGTCTACGATTTCTATTAATTTAATATCATTCTCTTCAGCTAACTTTTTCAAGTCTGTTACATCTCGTAAACCCCAACTTGGATCCTGCGATTTCAAGGACTCGTTGAAACTTATATTACTCTGCGGAGTGATCTGGCCATTAAAAGCGAACGGTCCATAGGTGATTAGTAGCCCATTTGGCTTCAGTAATTGACCCGCATTGTTAAATAAACCGATGGTGCACTGGTATGGCGAAATATGCATCATATTCGCATTATACATATATTCGAAACTGTTTGGCTTAAAAATACCGTTACCCCACAGCCGGAAGTCCGTGGTAATATCAATTCTCACGGGGCTTTTTATATTAGAATATTCATTCGCGTACGCGGCAATACTATCCAGAAGTCGCGGCTCGTATTCCGAGGGATAAAACGTGACATGTGGGAAATGCGGCGCGAAATGTGCCACGTGTTGTCCCGAACCGGAGGATATTTCCAGGAAGGTCTGATTTGTGCCGCGTTGGATGTATCGTTTTAAAACCAATAATATTGGTTCCTTATTACGGTCCGCCGCAGGATAAACGAGCTTTTTGGCAGCCATAGTGTGTGACCTTGAAGAAATTTCAGTTTCACTTCCTACAGAAAGTTTGTAGTGCATGCATTATTACATAATTAATATTACATTTATTGCTGTTATACTGCAAAGTGACGTGTGCATAGGTAAAATTTAAATTAAAACATGTATATTTTGTATATGCGATATGTGACTATATACCATACACGCGCATACACACATACATTTTACTTACTTCCCTCTATTATTTCATTTTTAAGAAAAACTTATTGACTTATGCCACGTACTTTGAAATTAAACAGCTCAAGAGTAAGATATAAGTCGCGATTCGCGTCAATTTTATATGTGCATCTCACCTGTGATTAACAGCGTAATGAATAATATTCATTTCTGTGTTATATGTTATTCACATAACATTTATAGCACACCCTGAAAAATGTAAATATTTTCTTTATACTATTACACGTATATAAAATTGTATATTTTCGTATTTTATTAGGAAATAGCCTATAGTAAATCTTAATTATTGAATCTTTTGATTGAAAAACAATGTCTAACTGCTTAGAAAAAACGGTTAAAATTATTAACATTTGGATAAACTTAAAATATTATGGAGAATGAAAAAGAAAAACACATTGTTGACGAACAATAAAAGTAATGTTAATTTAGTGGGTATTTATATATGCATTTATATACACGCACATATTTATTGGATAGATACAATAATTTATAATACAACTATAGTGTATATATTTACTTTGATATATAATTTTCACTTTTGCAACTTGTCAAAATACATTTACACTTGATTGCTAAACCGTCCGTTTCTGAATCGACAATGAAATAGTGTTCTGAAAATTGAAAGTGTTATGTAAACGAAAGTCAAATCAAAAATTAAAATATTTTAACGGGTCTTTGATATATGTACAGAAACGCAGTTCCTATAGAATTCCGAGATAGCGGATCCCTATAATACATATAAGAGATACTTTTCAAGTCAATTATATAACAAATTGCTGTCCATTTACAATAATTGTATAGGTATAACAGTTTCTATAATTTGACATTTCACAATAAGTTGGATTCAACATTTCTTTTTATCCAAATTGTCTTTCGCTTTAGGTGTTGCTTTTTTCTTTTTCTCTTGGCTCTTTTTACTTTTCGCTAATTCCGGTAGATGTACGGAGTGTCCGGTTTTCTTTAAATGCTCAAACAATTTATTTTTGCTAGGAAACTCAGATGAGCAAGAGACACAGCGATGGGTGAAATCATCAATATTCATAATTGATTCTTTTTTATTTTTGCCCCTTATCTCTTGTTCCTCTCTTTTAGAACATTTCTTTGCTTTGTCGGCTTTCAATCTTTCGCTAACAACACTCGCTTCTTCCGTCACTCTGTTTTCTAATCCCTCTGCTTCTTGCAGTCCCTCTTCTTTGTGTGCCTCTTCCTTGCTTTGCAACTGTTTATTTATTTGTACTTTTTTCTGCTGTAACTTTTTGCGTTGTTTTTTCGACAGCCATACTTCCTCGTTAATGCTCTCCGTGTCGTCGTCGCTAGCAAGTTGAAGCATAGAATTAGGATTCTGAATATTACGTTTCTTTTTCTTCTTTTTCTTCTGACGACTCGACAATGCGACGTCTTCTTCTTGATCGGATATTAGTTCGTCCTCGGAAGTTATGCCATCGTCATCATCATTTTCAATTTTAGATGAAAATAAAATACTTCCGGCCGCCTCTGGTTCCGCGGCCAATGGGACATCTCCGTAGCTATCTATCTTCTTTCCTTTTTCGATTGTCGATTGAAGACATTCAGGATCGTTTTCTTCATCGTTCGACATCAGTTCGGCAAGAGAGACAGCCTCGTCATCATTCCGTTTCGAATCGCTATAATGAGGAAGGTTCAAGAAATCATCAGGCATCTGTGAATCTGTTGCTAACTTGGGTCCATTTAGCGAAACTGAGTCTTCTTCCGTACTACTCGAGTCACTTTCCCGAGAGCTACTGCGGAGGTCCTCGTCCTCGTCCGGTATGACGTGCTTGAGTGCGCTGACATTTTCCTTATGTTTCTTCGAGTTTTCGTGATTTGTAAAGGCCTTGTGCGTCTGGAAAATCTTATCGCAAGCGATGCAGTAAAACGCTTCTGGATTGCTGTTCCTCGTTGTTACTTTCCTGTCGTCTGTCCCGAACTCTGCCGTCAGATTCGCCTCAATGTTCTTCAGCTCTGCCTCCACGTTCGAAAACTTGGACCATTCAGATTCGGTTTGATCCCGCAATAGTTTCTGCCTCTCCAACAGATGTGCCTTCCTCCGCTCCTCTGCCTTGCGAAAGTTCTCGCGGGCGCGTTCGGCCAGCTTCGCTGCGTATACCTGTACTCGCTTGTCGCGTTTGCGGACAAAGGCGACCAAATTCCGCACCTGCTCGTTCCTCTCACGCCTCGCCTTGTCGCGCACTTTCTTGTTCTCCTTCTCGGCGAGTCTGAGAATGCGCCGATTCCGCATTTCACGTATATCATACGGATCCAGCCAGGCGTAGGATCTTTTGGTGCTATAACTCTGCCAGTAGGCATAGAAATCATGCACCACGTCCTCGTAAGGGCTTTGAGAATCACCAAAGCCGGGAACCACCTCCTCCTCGTCGGACTCGCCGTCTTTGGCAAACTCGGCGTCCTCTGCCGCCAATTGCTCGAAAACGTTTCTGTAGACGGTGTAGAAGCCTTTCTCGCCGTCCCCATAATCCTTGAAGCATGAAAGGGAAAAGTATGGGAAGAGATTGATGGAATCATCCTTGTAATCCTCTCCAATGCCACCCTTCAGGATAGCTTCTCGATGATTGTCATACCAAGCCCGCTCGTGGGGATCGCTTAGTATCTCCCACGCTTGTTGCACAAGCTGGAACTGTTCCTTAGCTTCATCTGGACTATCGAGATTCTTATCCGGATGCCATTTCAATGCTAGCTTCCTGTATGCCTTTTTTACGTCATCGTCAGAGGCATCTTTTGCGACTCCTAATACTTCGTAGTGACACTTCATTGTATTGTGTTGTATACGTATGATTACATACAATGGCCCAACACAATTTCCATACTTAAAACCACAAACCGTACGCTAAAAGAATTTAAATTATGAAATCAAACAGCTTTTCTATGTAATTTAACGTAAATTTAATTTAGTTAGAAATGATTTATGAGCTCATTTGCGTTTCATCGCGGTTCGCGAAATATATTCAGTAAAACTGAATTTTTATCAAAGTACAAAAGTGAACAATATTACACACACACGCGCACGCACGCACACATACACACATTATTATTACCAGAAAACCTCGTGTTGTGTTATAAATGCAAATATAAAACAAATCTATGTACATACTCTAATTCTTCTCAAATTCTTAGCAAATTTTCTCCATTCAGTATTGATCCAGTATTTTTAATTTTATCCATAAGCCATGTTATTTTAATAACCTATATTCTGTCTTCAAGTATAAATCTCATAAAATATTACGATTCAATTCGATAAAATTCGAATCGGGTAGAAAAATAATAGGCGCAATGATCTCGTAAATTATTTCGAAGCGAAATAAAGCGAAATTCTCGATTCTCTATTTTACCCTCTATTTTAAAGAAATTTGTATGTATAAAACACACGTGTCAATCGCGCAATCACGATTTTTAATTAGCCATTCCAATGACTCGCTCGATATATATGTATAAGAAAATATAGAAAGAACTGCAAAGAGGAGCTTACTCGACTTTAGAGCTTTATCGATCTTGCTGTTGATAAGGCTGCGCACAGTTGACGCGCAATCGATGTATTTTCGAAATTACAATTAAACCTAACCTGAAGACCGAAGTCACCGAAGCAGAGAGAAGAGAGAAGAGAAGCATGAGAGCGCGCGCCGCGCGGCGGCCATCCCGTCAGAACCTCTATATACATACATATCACTAGCGCCATTGTCGCCATTACATCCATTTTTGAAATGGATACTACATAACCACATCCATTTTCAAACATTGTCGATAAAATTATAACGTCAAAAATGGACGTAGTCGAGTCTGCTGTGCTACATCCATGACAAAGAGAAGCATAAATAAAATATGTGCGCGTGTCTGTGAGAGTGTAGTACATACCAGAAGGTCCATGCTTCATGTCGGCACCCCTTTGATCTCCTTTTCCGGATCACGTGAGCATCCACCATGTTAAATCCAGGACCGAATTGAGAAAAGTGCCTCACAAGTAATAAAACGGATAAGTAATAATATGGATTCGATACAATAAATCAATAAATTCAATGTGTGAATCGAATAAAACGTTTTATTAGTAACAATTATTCGTAGGAGTAATCATTAAAGAAAATTTCTGATGTAATTGCTTATAAATTGTCTGTACGTATGTATGTATGTACGTTCCTATCGTCTTGCATTTCATTGGATCCAACCCAAAACAAAAGTTGCGCGGCGATATCTGCGCGAAGACTCAGTTTTTCGCTGAGTGGACCTATTGGTTGTTTTGAGTGAGAGATACGCGTTGTTTGATCGTTGTATCTCTTACTCCTGCTCAGACACTCGAGCTGCACAGACTAAAAACCACACATCTATTTTCGATGTTATGATATCGACAGTCAGAAAATGGATGTAGTACCCATCTCGAAAATGAATGTAATGGCGCTAGTGTACGTACATACGAGAATTCTGGGAACGATTGTGTATCTTGAAACGAGGTGAAAATTATAAAAGTGAGGAAATTCGCTAGATATTGGCTAATGAGAATTGTTACTATTCTAGTGAATTTGCTCACTTTTGTAATTTTCATTTTCACCTTATTCCAATAAGATACACAATCAACCTCCTCTACCAGTCTCCTCTTCTTATTGTAGATTATAGCAGAGAGAGGCCATTATATAGGGTTTCTGTCTGACATAACCGACGATTTTAGGGACTTTCACGACAGAACAGCTGATCGTACTCTCGATCGCAGTGATCGCAACGCAAGTATCGCACTGTCCACGATATTGTCCTCGGTTCGGCAGTCTCGCGGCACGGCATTTTCGGCTGTTCTCTGAATCTCTGCTCCCAAGGCAGCGATGATCGCGAGAGTGCAGTGAGGATTAAGCGATTTTCGAACATTGTCAAGGTGCGACCGATCCCGGCCACTTGTCAGCGGTAATTATTCACCGCTGGTTTCGTGCCCGTCCAAAGGTATATCTTGTCAGCAACAACGACCCCAACAATAGCCTTGTGACATTTTGCCAACATGATGTAGCAGACGCCTCTAATCGTTCTTCAATTAGCTTTCCTTCGCGATCTTAATGATTTTGAATGAACCCGATTTCATGTAACTCATGTTCGTCAGCTCGTCACGCTTTTATAGATTCACCTTGCCGACTCGTGTGCCGTTCGTAGTGCACATACGTTTGACACGTAGTACGTAAGGGTTAGGGTTAGTCCGTCGTAATTTGTCATTTTACTGCGCTGTTATCTTCTCGCTCTTTTGATATCAATGATAACATTATACGATTGTATTGGATTGTATATTTCAATTTCTCAGAAGAGAGTAACGTATAGACTATAGAGTAATTCACTTTGCGAGAATCGTTATCTTTCGCGTTTTTTTCTAATTGACAGCTAAGAATCGTGTAACACTGACAGAGTGTTTGCTTTAAAACAATTGCTACGATATTTGATTTTATGTATTTAAAGGAAAAAGAGCCATCTCTTTTAAATTGTACATTTTATTTTTTGGTTTGTGACAGAGTATGCCTTGGTTAGTTTAAATTTAATCAATGAGAGAAACATTAATACCCTGAGCAAAGGCAATAAAAACAGATACAAAGACTTTGTTTAATGCATCGTGGTTATTTATGCATAATTTTTTTCAGATTGTCTGCAAAGATGACTGCAGGTACCAGTTTAGTGGTGCCCATAGTTCTGTGGGGACGCATAGCACCAACCCATTGTATTTCTTGCGTCTACTTATCTCGGGATCAAAAGACACTGGTAACAGGATGTTACGATGGACAAATATGTCTATGGCAAGTGGATCCGGAAACATTAAAGGTATATATATATATATATATATGTGCGCGCACGCGCGCGCGCACACACACACACACACCTTTAATTCTGTGCATGCGAGTGCACATGCACACACATTTATATATATGTGCACAGAATATACAATAACATTTTTTTATTTATTATTGATTTATATTACAATCTATTTATGATTTTCAATGCAGATGACTCCAAGATGTTTGCTGGTTGGACATACTGCTCCAATAATGTGTCTCAGTCGAGCCAGCGTTGTAATGGAGCAAAATTTCATTGTGAGCAGCAGCGAGAGTGGAGAGATGTGCACTTGGGATCTAGTCGATGGAAAGTGTCGCGAGGCGGTGAAGCTTAATAGTGTTCACACGCAAATGTTACCTTATGTTTCTGCGGGTGGAGAGGATGTCAGACTGTTTTGCTCTGGGTAGAAATTGCCATTATCCATACATATATCACGTGATAATATCACATTTGTCGAGAATACATGTATATATACATGTTTTTTTTTATCTCAGATACTATCCCGAGGTTTTGGTGATGGATCCATTCAGTTTGGAAGTGCTGTTCACTCTGAGCTCCCGTGTCAATCCGGATTGGATTAGCGCCTTGCACGTTTTGCGGCCGGCCAAACGGAAAGGTCGGTTCTACGTGCATACAAGTTAGTTACACTCCATCACACCTACGCTTTATACCATCAACAACTACCTTTTATCAATTTCATTGCCAACGGATACTGTATAAAGAGAAATCGTAATGCAGCTTGTGTAACAAATTTATTTTTACAGTTTAGCGCGAAAATTCGATTTGAATCTTGCATCTATTGCTATTCCAAAATTGTTTCCTTTCTATTCCCAATAGTTTTTTTATATAACAGTCGATGCTCAATATCTTTTGTGAATTTTTAATGAAAATTCATTAATACGTGAAACAGTATCTTTTGGTGTTTCATTATCTTGTATATTTATGTTTCTTTTTAAGCAAAGACCTTGTGGATACTAGCGGTAAAGTTTCTTTTTTTTATTAATTATGATTTTTGGATATGATTTGAATGAAATTAAATTGCAATAATATTTATCGTTTATAATAATTGTACTAGTCTTACTAGTACTTGACTTGAAGTCAACTAACGGTACTTGAGGCATTTGTACAAACGTTTCTTTTGTACTTTGAATTTTATAATCTGCTACTTTACTATTTTTTGTTCTTTTTAGGCAATTAACCTGAAGAAGCTTTATGCTTTGGATATAACAGGGATTGTCTTTTTCATAAATTTCGAGCTATTATTTTTTATTATTCATTATTCGGTTTTACGCGAGTAAAGTCATTTATACGTGTTATATCTAGTTTGATAGTAGCAGTTTTACATACCTTCTCTTTTTAAACTGACTACTTAATAACAATTACATTGTTGCAGCATGTTAATGAAACTGGACATATGTCAGCGTTATTGCGCTGGCAATCGAGGCTCTATCACTTCTTTTGTTAATTTTTTATTTTATCTAATCATAATTCACACATAATTCACTCTTTGCACATCATCACTTGAGCACAATGTAATCATTATTAATAATACTCGTTTCACTTTTCTTTCTTTTTATATTAACTTACTATTCATGAAACTATCCTGTTATTCATACATGAATGACTATACATATTTATGCACACATTGCATTTCATTACACCCTCGTAACATTTTCACCTGGTATACCATGTTTCTATTTCTATTCGTAAGTATATAAATATATATATAAAACTAAAAAATATATTACAATATATATATATATATATAT